ACTACACACAAAGGTAAACATAATTCTTTGTTATTGCTCTTTCCAGACTTAAGGAAGAATATATTCTACTGAGTACAGACGGGCCGGGAAGAAATGTGCTTAAATTCAAGCCTCCAATGTGCTTCAGTATGGAGGATGCAAAATTTGTTGTGGACACCATTGACAAACTACTAACAGGTAGTACAGATCAAAACTGCTTTGTAGAGGGTTGCTGCTGGACTGTCAGTGCTGAGCCTGCTGTTCTAAGTGCTAAAACAGAGCCAAGATGGTAGATGCTGAGCCCATAGGAAAATGAGTCTTAATCAATACAAGTTTAAAATAATAATTCAGACATGAAGGCTGAAGTTCTCTAACAAAACTAGTTACTCCACAGACGCTTATGCCTTTTAAAATAGCTTTGCTTTGGCAGCAGTTGAAGTGTTTACCCATCTGAACAAGGGGAACTAGTAAAAGCTGTCCAAATTTCATTCTGACAGCCATTATCTGTGCACATTTGCCACTTTAGCTTTTTATAGAACTTCTGCATGCTCAGTATTAACCAAGTCAGTCCAAAAACTTGTCTCTAAGTCATGAGTTTGCTAAATTGGTACTTATTCTCTCCCCAGATATGGAAAAACAATGTCCGAACCAGTAGAAAACACCCACTTGATCTACCTGAGCAGGTATTTATTTATATTACACAGAATCACAGAATTCACCCTTTACTATTTAAAAGTTATGGTTCTTAAACAGAACATTAATGGTTGGACTTTATGATCTTAAAGGTCTTTTCCAACCTAACCAATTCTATAATTCTATGAACTTCACAAGCTTTGTCACTGGCAGTAGAGCAGGACTAAGTTTCCTCAGAGATGCTTCTACATGCAATTAGTTTGCAGGAATTTCTGGCAATCCAGAAGCATGGACCAGACTGGTGTACATCTGCCATTCACAGCTACCTTCTATCAGAGTCTGGCACCTCTAGTAACACTAGATGTATTCATTTGTTTGCAAGCTAGGTCCAGCATGTCCCAGAAATGCCTACCACTAGAGCATGCTATGCTTGTCTGGGAAGCTTTAAGAGTGGCTGGGTTTAACCACTGGCATGCCAACAACACGCCCATCAAGACAAAAACACAGCTTTTATGCTAGCTGCTCAGTGCCTTAAGTCTCCAGCCAGAGGCTGTTCCAGCTGCATAATTATATGTCAGCAAGTCTTCCCTTAACTGTCCTTAAGGGCAGGAACACCATACATTGTGTGCACCACAATTTGGGAGTCTCCACTTACGCTAACAGCTTTATGAAGAGCTATGAACAGTACTTTTACTACTATAGCTCCTGTTTTACTTAACATCTGACTTTGAAATAGTATTGCCTTCTGTTCTCTTGAGCATTGTTGACTACTTGGTAGGATCATTTCATGTTCACAGCTGTTATCTCATGCTTAAGCATCAATTTACTCCTTTAGTCAGAAGTTTGTGGGCATCAGTGAGACTGAGTCCTGCTAAGCCTTCCAAGCCAGTCTTGGTATCCGCTGAGGTGCCTTGCTTACAGAGAACATCTAGCTGCAACTCATTTTGCCACACTCCTGAGCACAGTGCACAGTTACAGTTAACACCTCGAGATCACCACCCTTCGGTACACTTAGTCCTTCTTCAACCTGCTCTGACTAAAAGACAACCACATGCCCAGTGAAACTCTAGGTACCTGGACAGGAATGTACCTAATGTAATCATCATCATCAGTCTCATCGCTGGTGACCTCAACCACCATGCTTAGATTCACAGTGCTATGGCCCTGAGCTAAGGAGAAAAATGCTTTTAGTTCAGTACAATATTAGTATAGCAGGCATGAGAAAAATGTGTTAATATTTTATTTAGCAAGTTAATGGAAAGACATACAGCTGTTTGTACTACTTATTCTCAAGAACAGAAAGATTACTCAGTGCCAGTTTAACTCCATGGCCTAATGTGCTTGTCTGCAGTCTAAACTAAGCAAGAAAAGCACCTTTATTTTCTACAGGAAACCAAGAATGCAAAAAGCCTCTTACTAAGTACAGTACTAGTATGACACTTACATATAATGTAAGCGAAGATGAGGCAATGAAGTAGATTCCTTTTAATGATGCTTTTACAAAAAACCCATAACATTATTTTCTTTCCATAGGTTTCAAACAATGTTCAAGATCATCTACTACGAAACATTATTCTACTATAATAATGCACATTTAATCTTCATCCTAGCATGCCTTAAACCAGATAAGTTACCTTTGATTTTGTTATTTTCAGTTATGTTATTAGTAAAAGCTTTAGGAGAAATAAATTTTACAAGAGCTTGTTTCAATTCTGGCAGAAGTGTGGAATTGGCTTTTATTTAAAACAGCGTATCTAAAACTGATTATAAATGAATATATTTCTAGTAGCTACTATAAACTACATTTTCTAAATTCATGCTCTTTCAGGTTATGACTTTTCAAAAATTAAGATGAGCCAACAGTTTGGGGTTTTTTGTTTGTTTGGTGGGGGGTTTTTTTGGTTGTTTTTTTTTTTTTTAACATCTGCTGATACCTATGCAAACACCATTCTAGCTGCCAGTACACACAGCCCTTCCCAGGCTCCTCTGACCAGTTTCAGTAGCCAGCTTCCTAACAGAGTCCCTTACTGCCACTATATCCAACAAATGGTCTCAGTGACCAGATTAAGTCAAAGACTTCCATCTCAAATTCGTAACATCAAATGCACAAGGAACAGACAGCTGAGGGCCATGGCTCCCAAACCAGCTCTTACAAAATAGTCTGTCCTCAAGAAACATCCAAGTAGGATTAGTAAATTACAAGTACATTACAGCCATAAGCAACAACCTTGCATACAAACCCTTGCTTTCACCAGACAATTACATGTTCCTTGTATCACAAACTTTATGCTAAGAAGGAAAGCCAGCTCTGCATTTAAGTACCAGTATCCTCAATTTCTGCTTAAGGCCACATCACCTGTCAAGGAAGCATTACCCAAGAACCTACTTCCGAGAAGCACCAACATAACAGCCAGCTGACAAACTACTGCTGATACACTAGCCAGAAATACTGCAGCAGTATGGTCCTGATACCAAGACAAATTCCCTGTTGGAGGGCAAACTGTTTGCTAGAAAAATACTCTGCTACCCCTTACTTCATAAAAAAAACAAAAAGGATGCAATAAAGCACCTCAATTTTAGATCTTGAGACAGTAATACTTTTAAATACTGTACTCGTTTCAGTCGTCTGCATTTTTTAAATTTGCAAGTTGGGCATTAGGTTACATATTCCAGCTGTATAAAGTTGTCATGTCAACCATAAGATTTAAAATCTGCTGCATCTTCTTTATACTCAAGATTTCCACTTAACCCCAGAAAGTCTTACAGGCTCTAACTTTACAGCCCGTTTTCCTTTTCAAGAACAGCCAGCAGGGAGCAGTGTATTCTAGTCCCTGCAGGAATAGCTGCATCCCTTGTTAAAAAAGTGAAAAGGTCACTAGTAACATCTCTTCGTGTCTTGTCTAAGCTGCTTGGTTTGATTCCACTTCTGGTTCCCATTTGTTCAAATACAGTTTATTAAAAGAAAAAAATGGTCATATTTTAGCTTTAAAAGGAAAGTAAAAAATCAAATTCATTGCTGCCACAAAGATTAGAAGTTTACTTTGTGCAGCAGCACTTGCCACTTAATTCGTACACCTGAGATTGGGACTGTTCTGCAGCAAGACAGGCAAATCACATGACAGTTATTGCCTTAAAATAGTGGTAAACTACTCAAAAAAGGAGAGCGTATTTCTAGCTGGTCGCTCGTCTCTAGAGAAAGAGCTGCCTCTTTAGAGGCAGCTTTGTTGTTTTTCCTCCCACAACTTAGAGGTAAGTTCTTTAGCCTTTTTTGATAGACAAAAAGGCTGCAAATATTCACACTTTGCATTGGTAATTTAATGTCTAACCTGCCTTTCAAGGCAGGTATACACGTTAAGAACTGGCGGAGAAGTCTGCCTCAAAACTGAACCATGAAGGAAGAGCAGAGCAGCTAGCCTCTTAGCTCCCTCCTGCAGTGCTGTCTCACCTCCCAAGCCCTGCCTGAAACCTACGCCTCTGGCTCCTCCGAGCCCAGCCCTGCCACACAGACACTAACAGTCACGCTGGGCCTCTGTACTTGTCCAGAACACAAGCCACCACCAGCACAGCCTCCACAACAGCTGGGGCTTTCCACCGAGTTCTCTTCCATAACCTCCAGGCAGAAGTGACTGCAGTTTTCAGCTGCCACTTAACCGCACAGGAGCACAACTACCAATACAGCCTTCTAGTTTTCAGGTTAAAAACATTTTATCACAACTCTTCATCTATCAGTGTACTGCCATGAACTAATTTCTGGGAACAGTATACTGGCATTTTACTAACACATAAGCTGAAGAATGGCACAAGACACTAGATTACGCCTTTTTTATTTCAAAAGCTAGGATAGCTTCAATATCCATGTCATGGTGAATCAGAACACATGTAAAATACCTTACAATACATTAGATTCCAAAAAGGTACCAAAAAGTACAGTAAAATTAACACTTCCATTACAGGAAATGTGTGACACAAAAACAATACAAAATAAAAAGGTGGAAAGTGACACTGGTTCCCTAAGATGCATCTCAATTCTGTACAACTGGAGTAATGCAGAGTCCATAGTTAACTCCAAGAGGCAGTCCCTAGATGCAGAGCTGCAGCTTTAAGCAGACCCTCAAAATCAGTTTCAGTTTAACCTATTAATAAAATCATTAATTATTATCTTCAGCAAGGCTGAAATTTACACACCACACTGTCTAGACAACTAGTTATCTGTAAGTATTAAACATGTAAAACATTTCCAGGGAGCTCTTCCAAGTAAGATGCACATTTAACAGGCCATAGAAATTTATTGTAAAGTTAAATTTGGTACAGAACTGAAATATCCATCTACAGCATTGTATACAAAACCTATGCAGTCATTTTCCAAAAGAGACCATGCCACTGCATACCTGAATAAGTTTGATCAATATGGCTTGTAGTTATTCTGATGACCACCACGTCTTGGTGTCTTCCCATAATTTGCACTGCCTTGACCTATGAACAAGAAAACAAATGCATTAAACTGCTAATTAGTTACGCTTGCTTATACCCAATACAGTTCTCTTTACTTACTGTAATCATAGCCTGGTCCATATCCATAATACCCATATCCTGAATAATCATAGCCTCCATAGCCACCATAACCTTGCTGATAGCCGTATCCTTGATTCCCATAACCCTGGTTCCAGTAATTGCCATAACCTTGATTCCAATTTTGACTTTGAGCTATAGAAGGGAAAACCATCCACAAAATCCCATTTTAGTACACACAACTTATTTAGAATGTGTCCATACTAAAGTAGTGCGTGTGGTACTTACCGCCGCCTCTTCCGCCTCTGCCTCTTCCGCCATAGCTACCTCTTCCTCCACCACTACTGAACTGTTGCTGCTGGTATACTTCTTTTGGCTGTGCTACCTTAATCTCGCACTGAAAACAAAAACAAGGCAGAGTATGTATGCTGTCTTGTAGCAGCAGCACCCAACCTAACCACCCTGGAAAGCCAGAGGTTACTCTGGAGGCAAAGGAGGTGTGCACGCTGTGCTCGGCCACGTGCCCAGGGCTAACGCACGTCCAGAATGCCACCCGGGCAAAGGTAAGTCACTGCTGGCCATTCAAAGCAGGCCACTGCTTGCAGAGTATTTTATACTGCCAATTCCCTACCATCAGCTTCCCCGCAGAAGGGAAAGGTTAGTCTCTGCTGGCCCTAGAAAGTAGGCCACTGCTTTCGGAGTATTTTAACACTGCCTATTCTCTGCGATCAACTCCCCCACGGAAGAGGTGCCGAGGCCACCTCAGCACAGCCACTGCTCCTGTAGGAGCCAGAGGCTGGGCCCCATCCCCGCACAGCCTCCAAGACCAGGCTGTTGCTGTGGGACCGCTTCACCTGAGCTCCATGGAATGAACAAGGCTTCGAGAGATGCAACAGAACGAGTTTTTCTGGCAGCCTTTGTACGCTCTGTATGCTGAGCATCTGTGTTGGACTGTACAGAACACCTACCAACACATGAAATTGTCATGTATCGAATACTAAGAACAGCCAAGAACAGCCAGAATTGACATTTCTAAGACAGGTTCCCAAGCTGCAGTTCAAGCTGTCAGCCAGCTCCCTAGCTCCTGAATCTGCACAGGTCAAAATGAAAGCTACTGCTGCTGTGAAAGAACAACTCCCTGTGATAGCAGCACCTGAGCAAGCCTGGCCTGGAATTCTTCACCACAGGAGCTTTAAGGTAACCTGCTCTTTTTATTATCACTATGACACAAAAACAAGCCATAGTTACAAGATATGGATAGGATTTCTCAGCTCCCTTGGCACATAAAAGCATTAAGCTCTCCTGAAAACAAACTTTATCGCCAACCATGGTGTCTTGACAACTATCAGTGCATTAGGTTTGCCGAAGTTTATTCTGTACCGTCAAGACCAGTCTTAAACCAAGTGGAATCTAAATCACTCTGGCAGACAGTATAACCAGATCTAACAGGGCTCTGAATTTACTTTATGGTCAGCGCTGGCTGTGGAGCAAGGGAAGAGAGACACCTCCAGCCAGCACACATCATTTGCCTCCAGTCCTCTTCTCATTAGCTTAACAGAAGAGCCCCTATTAGTGCCCATCCCACAGATGAGCACTGGCAGCTGTTCAGAGCATCTCACACCACTTTTATAGTCGTGCACATAAGCAGCTGACCAGGTACAGGTTGCCATAAGCATACATTTACTCTCTGGATGCTTGCATTGGGTTTATGCGGTGAGGTTTCTGTAGCAGGGAGGGCTGCAGGGGGGATTCCAAGGGAAGACACCAGAAGCTGCCCCCACATCAGACAGAGCCAGCTTCAGCCAGCTGCTTACACAGTTAGTGTCTGTAAGCCTTGAATTTATGCAAGTGCTCTATGCTGGAAATAGGTATGTATCTGTGGAAATGGCTTATATTGCTAGCCTGATACATGTGGAAAGAGAGGCTTATTTATGTATGTAATGAATTCAGTTAGATACTTTACATACAAAAGCCCCTAGAACATAGCAAGTATTAAAGCCACAAGTATTGGCAAAGAACATTGGTAGCCTCTGCGACTGAACTTATGGCAAAAAAACCACCCTGTGGTAAATTGCAAGCCACCCTTATTGTAATCTGGGTATCTTGAAATCAGAGGTCTACAAAATCCTTTTCAGATTATAGATGTAGTGAGGTACTATACTCAGTAACTTGGACAAATATTTGCAAATCAAAGTTTCTACCTTGCTTCCACTGACGTTATGGAATTTCTTCTCCAAAACCTTCTTCACCGGATCCTCTTCCTTGAAAGTGATGAACACAAACCCCCTCCTTTTGTTGGTCTTCGGATCCATCGGAAGTTCAATTGCTTCGATCTGAAGACAGGAAATACTGTTTTCAGACTTGTATTTTAGCAGAACAGCTAAGTACATGGCATTTGTGATAGGAAAGTTACTTTTTATTTTACTATCTATGCATAATATGCAACACCAAAGTTGTGGTATTTTTTCTATACTAACACTGTCTTTCAGACCAGAGGTTTCAATTTTTTAACTCTGAAAAACAATTTTAACATCAGCTAAGTGGTCTGAGTTAGAGACAAGGGTATCTTCACTAGCAGTGGAAGCAGCTAGTGCAGTATGTCCCTTCTTTGCTCCCAAGATGGGAAGCCTCTGGATCAGTTACAGAAGGCTTGATACATCTGAAGTTAATTTAATTTGCAACTTGCAAATTATTAGTAAACTAAACAGCAACTGGAGACTGTACATTTCATCAGTGTTTACCAAGATAACATTACACACCTCTCCAAACTCTCCGAAGTATTCCCTGATTTTCTCTTCTGTGGCTTCTGGGTTTAGTCCACCAACAAATATTTTCTTCACTGGATCCTTCTTCATCGCCATGGCCTTCTTGGGGTCAATTAGTCGTCCATCTAGCCTGTGTTCTTTCTGTTCCAGAACCTGGAAGATAGTTTAATAGGATTAACTCAAGCGGAAAAGTTTCCCCCAGAAGTTAAGAATCTGAAATATGAAGCTTAAATTCACCTTTTCAACACTCCCAGGTTCTTTGAAGAGAATAAATCCAAAGCCTCTGGATCTTCCTGTGTTAGGGTCCATCTTTATCGTACAGTCGGTTACCTCACCAAATTTGGTGAAGTAATCTTTCAAGTCTTTTTTGCTTGTATCCCAACTGAGGCCACCAACGAACATCTTCCTGAAATTTCAAGGAGACAAGAGCTATTTAGATTCAGGAAGCACTACGGAGAAGCACGCACAGCAAGATGCTCACAGTACACACCTCGGCAGCATTGTCAGAAACAGGACCGACTGTTGGAAGCAACACACTTTTGCATCCTGTCAAAAGCTAGTGATACTACAGGAGTGCACAAGGGCAGGTTCCCCCCACCCTCTTTTTGAGGGAATGACACAATGCACCCTGAGGTTTATTACAGGCTATAAAGAAACAGGAAAAATTGCCTGAAATATTCCTTACATGCTTTCAACAGTATTCTGTTATTTGCAACAAAGCAGTACTGATTATCAAGTACTGCCAGCTCAGTTTTTGGAAAGGACCTAGGATCGTTCCTACTCCTTTGAAAGCATTCAGAATAGAATAAGGCATCAGAAGCAACTACTTCAGCTCTTCTAGGATTTGGACAGATGGCCATAAAAATTTTAGTCCCAAGAACAATCTGCAAAATTTAAACCAGGTATCTATGACCTCCAAGAACAGTCCCATACAACAGATGGGACTTTGGACCTGCCTTAACCACTGTGTTGTGCACTTCTTCCTGCTCAGTTATCGAATCCGGTTCTATCATCACCAGTACTACGGGAGTATCTCTGCTATTAGCCTTTGCTTCCATGACAGGCCAGTGCAGTACTTCCCCACACACCTTCCACACAAAACACCCTCTGAGGCATCCCAAAGAACTAAATACTAGTGAAGCGCAATACAGAAGTGAAGCTAACAAACAAAACTTAGATCAGCCAATAAGGCACTTTTCAAAGGCCTCATTTCAAAGGAAAACATTAATAACATGGCTGTATTTTCCATTTTCAGAGTTTCCAAGGTAACAAACTAAGCTTTTAAAAGCATTCAAGCCTTTTTATCTAACTATAGACTAAAGCAGTTTAAGTTGTCATTACTCCGTTTAGAGGCAACCTAGATTTGGCACTAGAAGCTAACAGCACTTTAGAAACTAGACTATGTTTAAATAAAATTTAGCTTTTGGTGTTTATGCGTAACTTAACTTTGCTTTGCTAGAACTGGCATCCATTTATGTTCAAAAGGCAACAGAAGGGAAAAAACTGCATGTAGGTTTGTGGATTTTTTTGCTTTTTCCCTTAAACTGGATGAAACTAAGCTTTATAGGCTAAACCTGTATTTTTTCACAAGATCAAGCTGTGCACTCTTAACTGACAAGTGCAGCAGGACATGGGGTCCAAGTGAAGCTCATGCTTGCAGCCGTTACAACAGAGCCTACGGGAAAGGCTTTACAAAGTTTACTAAGCCTTTCAGTAACAGGTGAGAGAAAAGTTACTTGATGGATTCTCCTTCTCATCCCAACAGCTTACTGCCCAAGCACGACTGCTGCAACCTGCACAGACTGACAGTGTTTTTTCCATAGCATTCCCTGTCAATCACGGACTACACTTACAGAATGATCAAGAGAAATTCAGTGGTCAGGGGATGGCAGGAATTTGTCCAGAGGCAGCTTTAGCTGCTTTATGCCATCGGCTCAGGGCTGTGGTACACACACAGATATATTGCCGCATGCTAAATTCACCTCTTAACCGCGGCTGTAGATACTACACTTAGTAATTTACAGTCCTTTGTTTTGTAATTGGAATGATTGATACCTACATATGTTTACATAACACAACATAAAGCCTTTGAAATTAAGACCAAATTCCTAGTATTTGGCTTTGCCTTCAGAGGCCACACAAACGGGACAATTGCACCCTTAACATGGAGTCTTTATTTTTTATTTCCTCTCGAGTTGCATTAGCGCAGCTAAACCAAGGCACGTTTCGGCTCTCAACAAAAATGCTCTAATGTCAGCACCCTGAACTCTGCCTTGGACAGCTCTTGGTTTAGCATCATGCCGAGTTCCCCACATAGGTCAAATCCCTCTAAATAACTGCTTTTTCTTGGAAGTCTCACTTCACAGGGATTTGGGGTTGAAACTTGTCGGCTCCTATGCGAGAACTGGAAAGGGTATCACCCGCTTTACAGGGCAGAACACTACACAAGTAAAAACAAGAATCGCACGCAGCTCAAAGGCCTGGTTCTCAATCCTTCTGGTGCCTGCAAAAGGTACATCCGGCCCTGGCTTATAGCAAACTTGCGTAAGCCCTACCCCTTCCCTCGCAGCACAATCTGTTACGCTGCTGGGGCTCCGGCGCTCGGTCCAACCCGGGGGAACCGAGCCCCGCGTTCGGGGCCCAGGGCCAACAAAGGGGGAGCTGCCGTCAGTGCGCGGGGCAGCCCGAACCGCAAAGCCCCGCTTGAGAAACGGGCGGGCAGCTTCCAGGTCAGGCGGGTACATTCGCCAACAGACCGACCCCCCTAGGGAGGAAGCGACTCTTTTGGACACAAGGATGCCGCTACCCAAATACAGCGAAACTGCGCCGACTGCTCCAGAATTCACCGGCAAGAGAGAAGCTGTTTTCTGACAATGCTGCAGAGAGTGCCCCAAAATCGCTCTTACTGGCTTAAACGCACCGCCCATCGCCTCCATCGCGCCCTTCTTCCCTTCCCTCCCTCCCAAAACACCTCGCTTGCCCCGACTTCCTTCCAAAGCCAGGGTGATTTTTTTGTTGTTTCCCCCCCGCGTACGCGTCACACAAAACACGTTCGCGTTTACACCGCCGGCGGCGGCCATCGGCCGTGCCACCCCCGGAGATTTGG